CCTCACAAATGCAAGGTCCTGAGTTTGATCCCTGGTACCAAAATAAACAAACAAAAAGACCAAAAAAAACCACCCCAAATAAATAAATAAATAAATAAATAAATAAAATAAAAAAGAAAGTTAAACACTGTCGACATACAGTGGCACACATTAAACATTTCCATTCCAAAAGGAAGGATTACAGGGATAGAAACCAGTGGTGTCAAAACAAGACTGAAACTCAGCAGCGAAAACATTAAATCCTGTAGCTGCATATCTAGCAGTTGGGGCAGGCTGTGATGAGATATGAACTCCTTATGGCTTTGCTGATGGCTGCAGCCCTCGTGGCTTCTCGCTTAGGCTACCTCTGGTTTCTCCTTGTGGCTTTTCTCAGATAGTCCATGTTCCTGGCTTCTTCATCCTTCTGGGGTCTCCACTGTACTTTCGGGTCCACTCTCACGGCTTCGTATATTGCCCTCTCCGGGGCACACTGCCTGGCCTTCCTGGCCTTCTTTTACAATCTGGGTGGAAGTCGGTATGACCCCACGACTCTTGCATTCTGCATCCCTGTAAAGCCAGCACCACGCAGATGATGCCAAGCCTGCCACCAGCTGGAGAAGTAGCGAGGCCCCCTCGAATCGCAGCTCCAAAGGCTTCTGAGTACTTGTGTGGCTGAGCACTATGAACTAAATCCCAAATCCTAGGCAGCCCTTCTGAAGCAGGGTGTCCTGGGGCTCTCTTCTCAAAGAAAGGTCTGATAGCCTTTCACCCTGGAGCCTACAAAGGTAGGGTCTTGCCGATTTCTGACATGCCAAGCCATTTTTCCTATTATCCTGATCCAAAGTACTTGGCTCCTTTTTACAGGTAATCTTTTCAGCAACCAAATTCTTCTCTGCTCCATCTTTGGGGGGAAGGGAGAGTTTTTTTTTCTGTCAAAACTGAAAGCACTTTAAATTGGATTTTTGCTCCTGTTTCTCACAATAGAGCTCACGAAAAGCAGCAAGTAATATTTGGGCTGCCTTGAAAATTTCTCCACCATATTAATTAGTTCACCATCCTTAATCTCTAACATGTCTGTAAAATCAGAACCATGTGGATGATGCCAAGGTCTGCCTCCAGCTGAAGCAGTAGCTTGTCCCTTTTACATCTATCTGGTTGTTGCAGAGGCCTTTGAATGCCTGGATGGCTGAGCATGGTGAACAGAACTCTGAGGAATTAATTCCAATGCTGTAGGCTGCTGATGGTGCCTTGGGGCTCTCTTCTCAAAGCAAAGTCTTTCACCATTGCAATTTTGAGCCTGCGAAGTGTGGTCCTGCTGGTTCTTGTGATGCCCTCAGGCCATCTTTCCTGTTCTGTTCCAAAGTGCTTGGATTTTTACTGCTAATCTTTACAGCAACTAAACTCCCCTCTGCACCATCTTTGCAGGCAAAATTCAAAAATTTTTAAATCATTCAGCTCAGCCATTTGCTCTTGATTCTCAAGGTAGAGCTGGCTAGAAGCTCCCAACAGTAGCCATGCCACTGCCTCAACAATAGACTGCCTGGAAGTTTCTCCTTCCAGATTAGTCAGCTGCCCTTAGTCGCAGCCTCCTACAGTGTCTCAGGACATGAGCAAAATGTAGACAAATTTTCTGCCAGAGCATAGCACACATGATCTGAAGTCCAATGGAGTCTTTGTTCCCGAGTGAAACCTCCTGAGCCCGATCTTTAGCATCTATATTTTTATCAGCATTCTGATCTTTTGATAAGAATCTACCATAAAACTCGTCTTACAGCATTTTAGCACTACTTCTTCACCTGGTATCTTCAAACCTTTCCAAACTCCTCCCACAAACCAGTACCAAATGCCTCTGAACCACATGGTCAAATAGTGTCACAGCAGTGACCCCACTTTTCTGGTACCAAAATCTGTCTTAGTTACTTTCATGTTAGTGAGACTCAATACCTGATACCCACAACTCTAAGGAAAGAGGTTTCTTTTGGCTCAGAGTTGAAGGGGTTTCAGTCAGTTGGCTGGCAGGAATGACAAAAGAGAAACAGCTTTTGGCATGGCAGCAGAGAGCAGGGAGGCAAGATCAATGAAAGAAAGAGTCAAAACAGGAGAACCCAAGGCAAGGCTTTATTGAGGGGGAAAGAGCAGCTGGACTGCCTCAAGCAATAGTGAGAGGGCAAACCCTGTTGGGGTGAGGTTTATAGGGTTTGGAAGAAAAAGCATCATGTATAAGCGGGTGATAGGTTGATGCAAGCAACGAGGGTGGAGCTGATTGGCAGGTCTGAATTTAGAGGCGGGAAAAGTTTCTGGTGTAAGGAGGCGGGGTGGGTAAGTTTCGGTTTTTTCCGGTTGGGAGTTAGTTTCGATTTCCCAACCTGACTCATTTCCCATGTGAGGGGCCATTTTGAGTAAATAGGACCGCTGGAGCCATTTTCTTGGCAGGGGAGGCGAGGGGGAACAGGTAGATCCTTCCAGGCCATAGTCTTAGTCTTAATGACCCATCTCTTCTAACATGATCCCACCTCCTAGCAGCAAGTCAGCTGTAAGTTCCCATAATCCAATTGCCTCCCAAAGAGGCCCAGCCATTAGCGCATGAGGTTTTGGGGATGACATCTAGATATAAAACATAACAATTACCTTCTCATTGAGGAGACATTATACCCATCCCCTGCAATATAAAAGGAGGTGCATGGTTTTAGCTCATAATTGGCCAGGTCCAAGGCAAGGTGGTATGGTGGAAGGGTGTGGATAAATGCTGCTCATGTCATGGTGGCCAGAAAGCAGTGAAGAGAGGAACCAGGAAAGGACATATATCCTTCCAGGTCACACTCCCAATGACCCATCTTTTCTGATTGTGCCCATCTCCTAACATACCATTTGGCTACAAACATATCAACAGACTCTCCACCAATGAGTGTAGCATTCTCATGATCCAATCAGCTCCCCCAAATCCTGCCTAAAATTACCGGCGGCTTTAGGGGGACATCTCGATATAAACCACAATAGCTACACGTAGTGTAGAATTAGAGGAGAAGATTGACAGGCTAATAAATAATGATGTCATTGTCTTTGATACTTCACTGGACCATTGCCAAGAGCTAAGGAAGTATAAATAGTATCAGGAAAGAATTCACGGAACAGGCTGTGTGTCAAATAGGTGACCTAGGAGCCCATCACTCTGCATTTGTCAATACACCTGCATGTGTGTTCGACATGTGCCTGAAGGAAGGATCAGGAGTTATGAGGGAGAGGGAGTCCAGCCCCCATAGAGCCCCAGTCTTGGGAGGAGGCCAAAAGCTAGGGTAGAATCATCAAATTCTGGCACAATGTCTGTGCAGTATGCTACGGTGCTATAGTAGAGTCCTGAAGAGCAGTTTATTCCATCAAGGCCAGGGAAGTGGGAGAGGAAGATTTCAGATTCTGAGCAGCACCAAGACAGTGAGGCAGGGAATGTGTAGGGCTGTAGGGGAGATCAAACTGGGAGTCCACTCTCTTTGAAGACTCTGTTTGACTCTTCAAAACATGGAACTGAAGTTGTGGCCTACCTCTCATAAATGTACAGTGGATGCCTGACCGCAGTGAGACCCTCTCAGAAAACATGCTGCCCTCCACAAACAACAGGAAACCACTAAAGGGTCATGCTGCCCTTAGTAAACAGAACAGATGGCCCTAAAGAAAGTTTAGGACAGAACATACAATCTCCCTGGCACTGAGATGACTGGTATTATCTGACACCTGCACTGACCATGCTGGGAACTTTGACCCCAAGTGTTCCAGCCCAGATTCCTTAAGATTACAACTCCCACCTCCAAACTCTATAAAAACTTAAATTCTCCTCTGGGCAGCTGCTGACATCTTTCTCGATCTCAGCCTGTCTATATCCCAACAGCATAAATCAGCCTCTTGCTCACATAAAGCCTGTGTCCTGGTGGTCTCTCATGTGCTGTTTATACCACCCTTTTTTAGAAGAAACGATCTTTAACTTTCCCATTCAAATAGGCACCTACTCTCTATTAATCCTATCACCTTCTTTTTGATTTCCTGAGTAGCACACTATCTCACATCTTTTTTCCCCACTTTCCCCTCTTTCCTCACTAGAAAATAAACTCTATGTGAACAGGGATCTCATCTATCATCTTCAGGGTTGTATTCCCAATGAGGAGACATTCAGCATGCTTAATTTGAAGGAACTGTGTATGACACATGATGATGGACAGAAACAGGTGCTTGAGAATTCCTAAATTACAGTCTGGTATGCAAGAGAGACACCAAGATATCTAAGGCAGAGGCTGGCTGACACCAGCCGAGTTGCCTACAAGGTCCAGGTAATTTCACAAGAAGTCAGCAGCTTTCGCATGAGTACCCAGAGAGCCAGCACTGAATGGCAGAACCTCGATGGCCAGAGACATCAGTGTCTGGATGAGTCTCCTCTCCAAGCCTGTTTCCTCATTCAGATACTGAGACGATAACGATATCACTTGTATTCATTAGCTTTGTGTCATTGTGACCAAAATAAACTGCTCACAGGAAGAAAGATATATCTAGCTCACAGTTTCAGAGGTTTTAGTCCACGGTTGGCTAGCTCCAAGGTGGACATATCATGGTGGGAGGGTGTGCCAGAAAAAGCTGCTCATCTTATGGAATACAAGAAACAGAGAAAAAGAGAAAAAGAGAAAGAGGTGGACAGAAAGGGGTTGGGATAAGAAATACCCTCAAAGAACTGTTCAAACAGCTCCTTGTTTCCTTCAACAAAGCCTCCCTCCTAATAGCACATTCAGCAAAGAGCTAATGAATGGATTAATTCATTGAGGAGGTTAGTGCCCTCAGGATCCACTCACCTCTTTAGGCCTCACCTCTCAACAATGCTGTATTGGGATTCAGGCCTCAGAGTATGAGTTTTTCAGAGGCATGTCATATTTAAAGCAGGACACCAGCCTCATCTGTTTTTCTTCAGGATTTAATAGTTCTGAATGTGAAAGTGTTTTGGGCACAAATGTTAGTTATTGTTTTAAGAATAATTTTATACCCACACATTCTGTTTTGTGCTATAAAGCTGAGTAGGAAGAAGAATTTCCCAGGAGATTAGAAAATAGGTTTTAAAAAATTGTTTATGCAATCCCAGCATTTGAGAGGTCCAACTGGGAGGATCTCCAGGAGTTGGAGATCAATCTGGACTACGCAGTGAATGTGTTTAAGGTCAGCCTGAATTACAGAGCGAGAGCCTGTCTAAAAAGAAAAAAGAAGAGAAAAGAAAAGAAAAAAATTTAAAGGGTCAATACAAATTGTATAAATTCATGATGTACAAGATAATGTTTTGATAAATATATAAATTGTGAAATGATTTAACATATTGCTAACATATTCATCTCACCTATGTAGCATTGTGTGTGTGTGTGTAAGAACATTTAAAAATCCAGTCTTTAGTAATTTTGAAGTATATGACATAGTATTACCAATGACAGTGACCATGCTGTGCAGTGGGTCTCCAGAACTTATTCTTCCTGTCTAGGTGAAACTTTGTACTCTTTGATCAATGATGTCCCACACCCTTCACCCCCTTTTAGCACTTGGCAACCACCCCTCTACTCTGCTTCAATAAGTGAGATGTATATGGATTCCACACATTCATGAGATTGGGCAATATTTGTCTTTCTCTGCCTGGCTCATTTCACTTAACATAATGACCTCCAGGTTCATCCATATTGTTAGAAATGGCAAAAATGCCTTATTTTTAAATGATGAATGTTATTCATATATGTGCTGTCTGGCTGGGTTCGAGTTTGGAGTTAGGAAACAGGTGACATGTCTACGGTATGGGGAAACTTCTTTAGTTTCCAAGGGGGCTTCCACAGTGGGCCCAGAGGATATGCAGGTGGTAGTAACAGCATCTGTTGCTTCTCCGTTGGTCTTCGGGTACGTGTCATGTCAGGAAATATGAATCCCATGTCTTTATTCCTCACCCTCATTCCACAAATACATTGCCTCTCCTTGCGGGAGGTTGAAACATCCTCACTCCGTGGAAGACAAGTTTGGCTGGGCCACTTGCTTTGGCCAATGGGGTGGAAATAGAAGCCTCATGTGTCCCTGCCACTGTGTGGTCCCAGAATGAACATGATGCACAGCTGACCCACAATGGATGTGGGAACGGGAAACCATTGGAGTCCTTTGTTCCTCCTTTGACATTCTTTAGCCAAAGCTGTCTGATAGGAGTAATTTATTTGAGTAATGATTGGGAAGAAGAAATTGGATATGGCTCAGCTCAGCTCCTTCTTGGCCCCTTCTTCAAATCTGCTTAGACAGAGGGGGGCGGGAGGGAAAGGGAAGGGAACATAAAAAGAAAAAAGATGGGTTATGTACCTGAACCAACTCCCCACAGTGAATACAATCATTATGTACTGCATTCATGTACTAAAATATAGTAACAGTTGATAGAAATCTGCTTGAGTTATTTCAGAGGGGGACTCTTGTTATCTTTTTGTCATGCTGTAAAGGACCTGCCTCTGTTGGGTACAGCTCACAGTTTTCTGATTGTGCCAGTGGTTCAGTGGTGGTTAGGTCTGTCAAATTCAGGATTGGAGATTCATAGCTCTGCCATTTGGCTGCACAGCTAGATTTAGCTGAATACTTAAACCTCATGCTTATCAGTAATAAATCAAACATTTTGACTTTTCTCTTTCCATCTTCTGTGCTTATCTCTAAATTGGTTCCTGACTTGATGGGAGAAGAGAGATATGTACGGATCCCTTTCAAACCTCAAAAACCGTTCTGTACCTTCAGTATCACAGCTTCTAATCAAAGCAGTCAGACTTGTGATTCTCCGTCTCTGACATTTTACATATTGACTTTTGAGGTAGAACAATATTTAGATAATTATTAATCAAGGTAAGTGATGTAAACTGCTCTAAAGCAAAACAACAAAAGCCAGACCTCAGTGGTTTTAACAAAACAACGTTTGTTTCTGGCTCATATCACTGTCTGAAGTTTGTGAAGCAGGGTCTTACGCAGCTCCTCTCCTGGTGATAACTTGGAGGCCTGGCTTCCCTTCCTCTTGTGTTCCTCCTGTCTTCTGCTCAGGGCTCCACAGCTGCAACAGAAGGAAGAGTGAGGGACACAGGATCAACAGGAATGTGTTTAGGGACCAGGCTTAGGAGTGGCTTCTATCACTTTCACCCACGTCCCACTGGCCCAAGGGTTGTCCCCACCCTGACTTCAGGTGAGGATGGCAACTGTCTCCCCGTGTTCACAGGAGGAGGAGAGAGTACCGAGAAACCTTAACTTACATTCTCTCTCACCACAATCTCCCGGATACCTTCTGTTGTTTTCCCCTTCCCTCCTTTCAGGGACACAAGTGTTACAATGGGAATGCACAGAGGAACAAGAGACAGGATTCAGCTTTGGAATTTCAAAATAGACTTTTGCAGTGTAGGACTTGAGAGAAAAGTCTGTGTTTCAAAAGCCTGGTCTTTTTTACTCCAAAAGTATAAACCCTGCATGAATCTGGATACGATGTCTATGAAGTTCAAAAGAACCAAGATCAGCTGGACCAGTCTGGTGCCTCCACCCAGACAGGCAAATCTAACAAAGAGCTGAGGGGATAGGAGGAGGCTGGAGATGAAAAGAACAGAGACAGCACCTGGTGTGAAACTCTGAAGGACCCCATCTCCTGCCATCTGCTAAAGGGATCGGGGGAGGAGAGATGGAGATGCAGATCCAGGTCCTTGTGATACCTGGGAGGGGAGGAGATCTGAGGCCTTGGAGGTGGCAGCACTTTGCAGGGCTTCCCTTCCAGCAAGTGCTTTAGGAGTAGAGATGCCTCTGTGTCTTTTCTGCAGGGGCTGAAGTCAGCAACTTGGAGAGTCCTGAGGCCTCAGAGCTATGTGGGAGCAGTCATGGTTTTTCTATGGCCTTGACCAAGGCTATCTGCATGGATCAAGGACTAAGCATCAGATAGGACAGCTCAGTGCAGGCTGAGCTGGGATTGATACTAACAGCCAGAGAGAGACCCAGAGGATGACCTGGGAGCAGGTGCTAGGGCCAAAGGAAGACCCAATGCCTTGACACAACAGAATCAAGACACTTAACTTCTGTACCTGCCCCAACTAAAACACCAAAGACAGAGTGCAGCACTGAAAGGGGCACTGGACTTGGAGTAAGGAGACAGGAAATCACTAACCATCCTGTATGACCCTGAGCTGCTTGTTTCATCTCTCTGCTTCTCAGTTTTCTCATCTGTAAAATGAGATGTAATACTATCGACTTCATGGGTGTGCTGTGGGAATTAAATGCAAAAATACCACCTAGTTAGGGGATAGTACCCATTAAGGGCTCAGCAAATATCTAAAGCCTGTCCTACCCTTCTTTCCTGAGGTCAGTGCCAGTATTGAAACACCATAATTTTTTTTCCAGGAAGGATGGGTATGCAAGGCTATGTTTAGCAACGCCTGGAAAGTAAAATAAAATAAAGCCTTCCTTGGCTCTGTGAGGAAGTAATAAAAACCTAGGACAAGGCACAAAGCAGACAATGAAAACACGACTTAAGAGCAGGGTAGGGGACAGAACAGGGGTAGGGTGAGGGCGGTGGCTGCCCTAAATGAAAAACAACTCAGTACCCTGCTATCATCCTTCATCAAACTACAGAAATAGAAACAGAAAAGAGACAAACACATTATGTGAAGGGCGAAAGGGTTGGCAAGGTCCTGGCCTGTAGGAAAAACCCAGGCTCAATAATGCCATGAGAAGAGGGAGGTAGGGTACGAGGCCAGAGTCAATGGCAGGGCTTGTGTCCAAATGGCTGGTTTTGCAGTCCTAATGAAGCTTAAACATCACATGGTCTTTTTTTTTTTTTCTGACCTGTTTCTCATTAGACTCTATCTTCTCTCAGATAAGCCAGCCATATGGCATTGCTTCTACTTTCTCTGGCTGATGACTTATCAAAGGTATTCTCCACCTTTCTCTTTTGGGAAAAGAAAGCTTTGGCGCAGAAAACAGTCTTTTCTATTTATATCTACTTGTCTCTCTCTCTGATTAGAAATGATCAATTTTGGAGACAGACTTGGGTTCTGTTTATTCTCTTTGTTTAGAGGAGTGTAAGTTAAGACAGGATGTTAGCATTATCTGCTCTGCTCTGAGTCTTTTTACCTCTTCTTGGGGAGAAGAGGATCATAGGCCTGGCTCAGTGTTTTTAGTATCTTTACATTGTGGGAATCACCAAATTGTGGCAAGCTCTATTCTAGGTGCTATAAACACAGACAACAAAGGGGTTAAGACAGTCTTCATGTTCTCAAAGATCTTGTAAAAAAAGTGACTTTTATCAACAGCTTTTTGATAACCAATTTTGGGTTAACTGATTAGAATTTGAACAGGTGTTTTTGGAGATCTATTATTGTCCATGGGCCTTACAATAGTTTTATGGCTAGGTGCTCTGGCTCCTACTTCCAGCTACCTAGACCATTTACCTGTCTCAGCCTCTGTTCATTTGAAGATCACAGCTACTGGGCTCCAAGCCCAGTGTTATTTCCTTAGCAGAGTTTTCCCCTAATTGTGGCCAAGTAGGCAGTTCTGAATTCCTCTCAAGGAAAGGATGACATGAGAATGTGCTCCCATTTTATCAGAAAATATACTGTGGGAAACTCTTCTTCATTTTTATTTTATTTTTTTGGTACCTGGGATCGAACTCGGATCCTTGCGCTTGCAAGGCAGGCAGTGGAACCCCTGAGCTAAATCTCCAGCCCTCTTCTTCATTTTTAAAGAGCCAGGTGGAATGTTACATTCTGGGGAAAACCTGTTCTGTCTGCCCCAGGCAGTGGGAGTAACATCTTTCTCTAAACCCCTATGGGTTGTGCACATAAAATAATCATATTGGTGAGGATAATAGCTGTAATAGTAGTAAGGAAAGGTTTATGTTACCACTTACTCAATGTGTCTATGTACCAGGTGTCAGGCTAAGTACTTTATATGCATTATTTAATGCTCAAAAGAACCCGAGGGGAGACACCCTGTTATCCTGTTTATAGATTGTATTGGTTAGGAGTTGAGTTTGGCTGCATGGTGAAACCTGTCCCCAGTGGCTTAAGCAAATCAAAACTTATTTTTCTCAATAACAGTAAACTAGAGATGGACAGGCTTGGTAGAAAGGGTGGCTTCTTATAACCATTCTTACCGCATAGCTTTGCTGTGGGGGAGATAAGGTGTCTGTTTTTTCTAATCTGTGTTATAGGTAAGAGAAAGGGTAAAGGGCAAAGGGCACAGTTTGAAGGGCAAGAAGCCCTTTCATTTCGTAGTTTTGTCTTGGTTGCAAAGGAAAGCCATCTCCTATCTATATCTTGAGGGCTACAACTGTGTTATGTGGCCATACATCTGTCAAGGAGCTTTTTTCTCTTTATTTTTTTCAAAGGTGGGCAGATCTTGGCCCTGAACAAAATTGGGGTTTCACTGGTAAAGAGAAAGAGAGTCAACACTGGGTTGGCAACCACCAATGCCTATGGCACAAATGAAGAAACCAGACCTAAGAGATGCAAAGGTTCTTGCTCAGCGTCAGAAATGTGGCAAAGTCAGGCTTAAACCCATGTCTACCTGATACTAGTTCATGTTCTTGACTATTTTGAGAGATGAACTTTTTATCATGAGGCATTGTAATTTGTGTATGTATATGCATGCATGCATGCGTGTTTATAACTGGGGTTTGAATCCAGAACCTAACGCACAATAGGAAAATGCTCTACCACTAGCCACATTCCTGAACCCCTCAATTGTCATTATTATTTATTCATCTTTTCCTCCCTAGATTACAAGATGTTTAGTATCAGGAATAAATTTTATTCACATTGGCTTTCCAGACGCTTGCCTATAGCTTGTTAAATAGATAAACAAATTTTAGGATTACAGTAGTTTTCAAGCTGAAGTATCTTTCTGGAAAAATATTCTTTGATGTTCTTTTCTTCTGTAATATTTCATAACTACCTATTCCCAAACAAGTAGCTGCAAATGCATATAAAAGAAATGATCTTGGTCTTTGTGTTGCCATGGGTACATTTAGCCTCTCCTACTATTCATAGGCTTCTAGTCTTCTCTCTTTCCCTAGATGCTTAATGCTTGTTTACAGGGCACAGTCCAATTTCTCTTGTTCTGCTGGGTCATTCAAACATTCCCATACTGCATCTCTCTATTTCTTAGGGACTTGATTGTTACCTGAATGATAATAATTTGAGTCACAGGCAGCTCTAAATCCCAAATCTCATTTTTTGTTTGGGCATTTGCAGTCTGGAAGGACCTAACATTCAGATTTTGGTATTTTGGCAAAGCAGGTAGTAGAATTCTTAAGATAATCCATTCAGTAAATTTTTCAGAAAACCAATTGCTGACAGTCTAGGTTTTAAAAAAAAGCACATTGTTTCTTTCATAGGCCACTATGATTTCCACTTTGTCTCCTTCAAAGTCCTAATGCTTAGTTGGACAGGGTCAGGTTGTAGGGCACTGCCAACTGTAAACTGCTGAGGAGGTTGGAGCTAATCAGACTCAAAAATGAACTCTCAGACACTCAGACTCCACCTTGGTGGTGCAAATAGCAATATAGAGTTTCCTGGGTTTCTCTTTCTCTATGGGCCTTTGGCCAGTAGCTTACTATCACTAAACAAATTAGAAAATGAATAAATATTACTAATTAAGTGGTTATTAAATATTAGCCACTATACCAAGTGATTTATGTTGTCTCACACTGGTCACACCAAAAAGTCTTGGGGAGCTTTCACTTACCGAATGTTTACTACAGGCCAGTGGTGATGAACCTACAGAGAGCATGCCACAGTGGGTTGTTTGTATCATTGAAACCTCTGAAAGGCTTGCAAACACTCTATAGCCCATTCTGACTCCACCCCCACCCCATCCCCAGTACTGGAGATTGAACCTAGGTTTTTGTATTGAGCTACATCCCCAGTACTGGAGATTGAACCTAGGTTTTTGTATTGAGCTACATCCCCAGCCCTTTTTTATTTTGAGATAGGGTCTGGCTAAATTCCTAAGTTGCGCAGCCTGGGCTTGAACTTGAAACCCTCTTGTCTCACCCTCCTGGGCATGTGCCACCACACCAGGCTCAAAGTTCCCAATGTGTAATAATTCACTGATACTTGCAGTAATCCTTTCAGGAAGGTGCTATTATTATCTTAATTTTCCGGTGAAGAAACTGAGGGATGGAGAGATTAAATAGTTTCCATAAGGACTGGCTTGTAAGTGGCAGAGCTAAATAAATTAAGTAATACAATATACTTATTAGGAAAACCCAGCTGCAAGGCAGGTTTTCCAGTTCTCCCTTCCAACTATTCTAAAGGCCCTCAAAAACCTTCTGTAAAGGAACTCTGCGGCAGTACTGGCGCAACATTACCTGGGCACTAGGTAGTAAAACCTGGCTTGCCATCTGGGATGCCCTGACTCAGAAGTCAGGATATTTATTATTGTATTGTTCCAGCCCTCGCAGGCTAAACTCACGTTCAAAGGCCAAGCACAGCTTGGTTGCAAATGAGCTCAGAAATCCACCTAACCCCAGGTTTCTCAATTTCTGCACTATTGACATTGTGGACTCCATAACTCATTTTTATTTTTTAATTTAATTTTTTATTTTTTGTACCAGGCATTGAACTCGGGACCTTGAGCTTGCGAGGCAGGCAGCGGAACCACTGAGCTAAATTTCCGGCCCTCCATAACTCTTTCCTGCTGGGACAGTCCTGTGCACCACAGGACGTTGAGCAACATTCCTATCCTTTATTCACCAAATGTAATGCCTCTAGTTATAGCAGTGTAAAAGTAAAAAAATCTTGAGATACTGACAATTATTAGGGTGACGATGGAAAGGCGTAAGTCCACCCCTGATTGAGAATCCCGGATTCAACCATCTCCTCATTCTATACACGTTGGAGCTGGAGTCCAAAGAAATAAAGTACCTTTTTTAAAGCAGTTAGCAAGGCCAAGACTAGAATCCAGATCATTCACGCAGCACCATTTTCCCCTATAATGTACAGGGCACAATATGACACCCAGAGGCAGATCTAGCCTGGCAGGCATGATGATCCATTGCACATATCTAACTACATGAAGCAGATAAGCAATAAAGTGCTACTAAGCAGCAAAGGGTAGAGAAGGAGTATGAGGTCTGTGTCCTGAGATCTGGACTGGCCACATTTTTTGCTGCAGAATTTAACCAAGCTTCAAGTTCATCAATGGAACTGATATTGCGGTCTCTACCCATATCACCAATTTTGTCACGGATCTGGAAAGCACTGTGCAAACGGGAAAGCTTTTATTAACATCAGGTATTACTAAGGTCATCAGGGATGTGAGAATTATGATTAGAGTAAAAGCTCTCAAACCTGGTTTTAAGGGGTGGCTTCATTCCCTGACTTCTCACTTGAGATCTCTGTTTTTGCGCGGGAAAGCTAGCAGAGTCACTCGCCCCCGCAAAGTACTCTGTTCTCCCCAGGAAACCAAGTGGCCAGACAGACTAGCGAACCGAGCGCAACTTCGGGCAAGTCATACCGCAGGCTGGACCAAATCCCGCTCTTAGGGCCCCTCCAGCTTCGCCCGCCTTAGGCTGCAACCCGGCCCTAAGGGAAACGGACCCCGCCCGCTACACTCAGGCTGGCATTCCAGCCTCCCAGCCCCAGCCCGGGACGATCCCGGGGCCAGTACCGTAGATTCCCGAGCTCCCGCGATCTCTTCCCGGCTTCCCTCGGGCGGCCGGCGCGGAGATTGCCGAGGGGCACTGGCCCCTCCAGCTTCGCCCGCCTTAGGCTGCAACCCGGCCCTAAGGGAAACGGACCCCGCCCGCTACACTCAGGCTGGCATTCCAGCCTCCCAGCCCCAGCCCGGGACGATCCCGGGGCCAGTACCGTAGATTCCCGAGCTCCCGCGATCTCTTCCCGGCTTCCCTCGGGCGGCCGGCGCGGAGATTGCCGAGGGGCACTGGGGCCGCCCCCTCCGCAGCTCGGCCGCCACAGCTCCCTTCACTACAGCCTCCAGCTCCCGCGCGGGCCGGACTCCTACATCCCGGTCCCTCCCTCCCTCTTTCTCTCCGCCTTCCCGGTGCTGCCACAGTGGCGGGG